AACAGCAAACTTGCTATACACGTTTCTCTCCAAGAAAAAAGCATGGTGGTACAATGATTAAGCACTCCCGCTAACCGAGAGGTCGGTAGCCTGCACCCACCTAGCAGCTCCAAGGGGGAGAAGACCTGAGCCTAGAAAACCCTGCAGGGCAGTTCCACCCCGTCCCATAGAGGTGCTGTGAGGCAGAATCAACTCCCCGGAACCCTAGGACAGCGGTACACGCACAGGTGGAGATGTGTAAGATACTCTGCCGCGGACACACGTCCACATGCACTTTTACAACATAAATATTCAGTGCCACTAAGACAGGGCAGACCCAGCCACCACCCCACCCCACACAGAGCTTCCGCCTGGCACAGAGATAGGCTCTAAATCGTCACAGACAAACAGGCTCCCGAAGTGCCACCCCCACCCTCCAGGTGTGTCAGGAACCGCGTGGAACAAGCCAGGAGGCCACGCGGGGCTTGCAGGTGCAGGTGAGAGCTGCCCTGAGCAGGCGGGGCCTTCAGGACCCGCGAAGACCAGGTAGCAGCACGCACGGTCTGCGGGACAGGCCGCGCCCTCCAGGTTTTAAGACGCTCGCTGTGGTGGAAGACGTACGAGGGGGGCAAGAACAGATGCAGACAGGTGGCCACGACCACATTCCGGGGAGAGACGACAGTGGTGGGGACCACTGTGGCAGTGGAAGGGTGGAGAGGGAGAAGACTGCAAAACTAGTGGCCTGACCAAAGAGCTGGGCTCAGGGTGCCTGTGCAAGAGGCCACAGAGTCAAAGGAAACAATGTCACCACCGAGTGGACGCCCACTCCTGCCGACCGCGTGCCGTCAGAGCCAACCGTGTCCGCAGGGCTCTCAGTGGGTGGATTTCGGGAGCACACTGTTAGCCCTTTCTTCCAAGGTGCTTCTGGGTGGACTTGAACCAGCCAGGCCTCACCCAGAGACCCCAAAGCCCAAGAAGGAATCCTGCCCCGTGTAAGCCTATCAAAGGGGCCTTGTGGGAACAATGTTACTTATCTCTTTGAGGGCAGTCATGTTGTTTCAAGACCCAGAACTGGAGCTCTGGGTCAGGCGGATGTCTGTTCACGTCCCTGGACGAGAACAGTTTGGGAGGCGAGCACGGGAAAGGAAATGTCCTTTTCCCAGAGGACCGCAGACAATCGGGGGCTTCCGGGATAAATCCACCTGCCCATGGCCGTTTCTAAGGCGGAGTCTCCCGGCCCCGAGGGGAATCCTGGGGAAGGCGCGACATGGCCCTGTGAGTGCCACAAACAGAACGCCTTCGAGGAGACACATTTTTACTGCTGTGCGTGAGAACAGCCCCGGGAACCCAGAGTCCTTCAACCGACAGCTAACGCCAAGGCCGGGCTCAGGGTGCCCGGCCGAGGCCACACCGGCCGGGCCTGACGCTCACGCAGGGGGCCCTCGAGCTCTGTGGGAAAGCCGAACTGGCAGGAAGTGTGAGTCTGGAGATGCCGGCTACACGTGGCCCCTCGAAACTGCACTGAGAACTCCACCGGGTGGGGAAAGATAACAAAACCCTCCAGTATTTATGACGGGCCTGCCGCTTCCACGGAACTGCTTGTAACCTGACAGTTGAGACGAGAACGCTGCTGCCTGTGCACGGGCTGGGAACCCGTGCTGGAAAACTGCTGGGGCGACTAACAGATCCTCACACACTGTCCCTCCCTAAGAGGGACCCGTCCTCCTGTGGCGTGGCACGGCAGAGACGGCCGCAGGCATGGCCACACCTGGGTGCGCCCGGCCCTTCTCCGTGGGCCCACCCTCGGCACTGACCAACTCCCCACGCCTGTCTCTAGTTGTTTGTTGAAGGAAAAATATACAAACTCTCTTCCAAACACAAAGCCCTATGCAAGCTGGTTTCCACTCAGCCCCTAGTCCCCCAACGGTGGAAGAACGGTGGATGTTCACCCAGAAC